CCCTCCCTCCCTCCTCTTCTCTCTCTCTCCCTATCTACAGTCTTTTTCCTTCTTCCTGTCTGTTTTACATTACAACTCTCCTTCTCTCTTTCTCTCTCTCAATCTCTTATCTGCACGTATCTGTCAGTCAGCTGTCTCAAATCAGCCGGTTGCCATGACGATGCCAGTCAAAAAGGGAGAACTGAATGCATGTATAATAAATACCTGCACACCTGAGTCAGGCCAAGATGTGCAATTGTGCAGCCCTAACAGAGCATGGAATAACCTTGAAAACCTGAGCAATCTCAACAATGGTGCATATTAAAAGCCATCCATTGTTCCATGCCCATTATGATTCACTCAGATATTGGTCCCAATGTCAACTCTAATTCATTCTACTAATCGATAGCTACTATGAAGGGTCACTCAAATCTATATGAATGTACATGTACACTAATAATAGAAGATGGTCTTGATAATTAGATGGATTGCCTGAGCCTGAGGCCTCCCCAACACAACAACTGTTGTTTGAGGTGTATCATCACTGAGTAATGAATTGAGTCTATAACTCTCAGCTAAATATCTTTAATTTGTAATGCATTGTTACAGAAACAAAATAGATCACAGTTCTGGACGGCTCAAACTGAGCTCAGAAATTAAAAGATGAAAATATTACCACTAGTCCTGATCTGACAGTTTCTCAAGAAATATAGAAATCCGGTCCCCCCCCCCCCCCCCCCCCTTAGATATCTTCATGAATCAGGATTTTTCTTTAGAAAGCTTTACAAAAAAGAGCATCCACTTCAACTGCTGTAGAGTAATGTACACAGACCAAGAATGGTACATAAATCAGGGCATAATGTAATGTACCATGAATATGATGTACCATCTACAATACGTTATGTGGATTCAATATTGAAGAGAAGAACCTTCACCCCTTTTTCTCGCCCCCCCCCCCTCTCTCCCTTCTCACCATAGACCTGCACAATCAATATCAGCCTTTTACCACAGAATATCTCTCTTTGCTTTCCCCTCTTTATAAATCTGAATATCTCGCACTCTATCTTACCACAGACCTGTACTTTCCAGAGTACAAGCACCTGTAGGCCACATGAACTTTAATGCAATGTACATGAATGCTGTATAATATAGGACCTTTTGTTTAGATTGCCAGCCTAGAAACCAAGACAACTGTTTAGGTTGCCTTTTTAAACTTGTAGTGGTCATTTGGGTAACTGCTGAAAACTGATATTACAAAAATAATGAGATTTATTAGTTGATCAATATTAGTTGATTAATATTAGTTGACACCCAGGCAACAAGGTTAGGATTTTTTTCAGGAAAAAAAGAAAACTTTTAGCCTTGATTATGCCATGAATGAGAGAAAATCATATCTAAAAAGAATACAGCACAGAAAGTTAAATTTTCTATCAAGGAGCAGAATAAGCAGAAATATATTGGCAGCAGTTCTGCTGTTAAAAAATTATCTTGCCTTTTACACTGTACCTCCTCATGTAACAAAAAGTTTGTACAAATATGACCCTTGATTTATTTTGTGCTCCTTAATAATTGTATCTGATAATTAAGTATAAACGTCATGTCTTAACAACTCTTTGTCTTGAAATACTTCAGCAAAATATGCTATATTAATGAGCCTATTGGCTACATTCCTGTGAAGTAAAAAAATGTATGCCACGTAAACAGTGGTATACTGGTAAATGTATACATGTACGTGTACATGTACATGTATGTACATTCAAATTCAAAGATCAAAAGGGAGGCCTGCCCAAAACTTTACTATGAAAGCCAGCGAGAGGTCTTAGCTGTTTCCTTTGATCACTTCAAAATTATGTGACTTAAACAAAAATAGAATCTCCCTCCCTGTCTTCTCCCTCTTCCTGAGATATCCGCATATCCATCTCTTCTTATATATAATCAACATGATTTGTGTCAGAAAAATTCTGCCCACATTGAATGAATGGAAAGAGGTAGAGAGGCACTTTCTACATTTCAAACATCTCTAGCTACAGTATGTTCACACGAGACCATGGTAGTTAAAAAAAAAATTGTGTAAACTTTCACAACAATGAGGACATGAGTGCGTCCACACGGTCCATAACTACATGTACATGAAAACATCAAAGTTTAAAACCACAACTGCTCATTACTCAGCTAGTATACATTTTCTACTAAAATCGTTTGGTAAATGACATTTATTTGTAATCTTGGACATTCAGAGTAAGTTTTGTTTGATTCTGTGAGAATTCATTTTCTTTTTTTTTAACCAGAACTCAAGTTTATCTTTAAGTTGATGGACTCCCATGTGAACATCACTGTTGTGTATTACTCAAGTTACAGTAAATTAGGAGAATTGAACTTGGAATGTCAGAACAGCTGTTGGTGACAGGTTGACACAGACAGGAAAGAATCTCAAGTAAATACTGGAAGCTATACATATTAGGACAGGGTCAAATGGAATCAATGTCCAATGTACAGTATACACAGTTTGCATGGATTGCAAGTGCAGGGCAATACATGTATGTATGCTACAACCCTAGTATGGGGCTAACAATTTTTTTTTCAAAAGAAAGTAGGAAAGGATCCTCAGCAGACAACCAAAAAAAGAAGAGGTTCAATCGAAGACAATAACAAAGGAACTATGGTCTGTTATCAGACATCAAATGGAGAACAATGTCCCATTAAGCCAACAATGCAATAATAGACAATTACATGTAGTACATGTAAGTTCAACTTCAGTCAACATGTACAGTAGCTTGATTCCTGGCTCCTATTAAATTTAAAAATGTACAATTTACTTTAAATGTAACAAAGTATGTCTACGTACATTACAACATGTTTATGATGGTTTCATGAAAAAAAAAGTGCCTTCCGTAAATGTATTGTACCTGTTGTGTGTTTAATGTACTGTAAACCCTTTAATCAGCACCAGCAGAACAATGCAACACCACGATACGTCTTTGACACAAGTATGTTAGCTTTAAATAGTCCAAAATACAGGTCAGCAAATGATAATCAGATTAAAAGCATTATTACAGAGTTTATGACCCGTTAAACAAACAGAGCTTTTTTAATTTGATAATTGCACGTACAGCACATGTTTATTTAATCAAGCCTATTCTCTACTTGTACATTGTACTTGAGGCCCACACTGTACAAGATTCTATGCCAGTGGCGACTGAAAGGGGAGGGGCACAACCAGTCTGCCCCCCCCACCCTCTTTGAAACTCATTGCACCTTAGTACACAAAAACATGCCCCCTCTCCTCATTGTGATCTTCTGACCTCCCCTCAATTTATAGTCCCAAAAGGTGGACCTGAAAATGTAAGAATTTGTTTCTTCGGAGGGGATTCAAGGCAGAGATTTTTGGAATGGAGCCCCCACCTAGCCCGGACGGAGACCTGGATACACCCCTGCTTTATGCTAGAAATATGTACTGTACGTGTAGGTAAGGCTATAACCACAGAGAAAGCAGATCTGAATTCAAGATAAAAGGATTGCCAATGACAGGCACATGCATTACACATGACAGCATCTGTTTGAAGTCAGAAGGAAGTTTTAAGCCGTTCACTCCTTGTTGAAGCATACGAGTTAACGCCCTTCTAGCGCTAAGCAGATGATATGTCTCTAATAGGCTGAATCATGTGGCATTTCCTCCAGTAATGGTTTCAATGAGGCACCGGGGTGCCAGCTTGTTCCTATAAAGTGATACAATCTGTCAAACTTTCAGAATATTTTTTTTTTCAAGATTTTTTTCTTCATGAATGTTATTTTTACTTCTATATTGTCATTTTGTTTTATGAATTCTTATACTTTTCTAGAAGTTGTAAAATCAAATGTGAAAGTACAGACTTTCTTTAAATTTTAACAGCTGTTTTGTATCAACTTACTTCTGTAAATTTTAACCACTAACAAAAATGATGAAAATATTATATTGAGAAGCTATCTATCTTCTCCTTCGCACTGATATTTTGTAGGTCTTCTTCTATTCTATAGCCTACAAATGTACCTGTACAGAGACATTCTTCAAAGGTCACAACAAATTTCCAGTTTCATTAATTTGCGTCATCTAAAATACAGGGTTGAAAGTACAGGTTTCACCTTGTTGGATGGTGTTCATATCAATTTGTGAGGAAAAGAGGAATACGCTGGGTTTTTAATCTACGTACATCTGTAAATCCCCAGTAATCCTCACTGGGGTCAGTTTGATGCTGTGCAAAATTACCTCTACCAGGTATGCAATTAACACTACCCCTATGTAATCGACAGTGCCTCTATGTAATTGACAATGCATCCATGTAATTGACAGTATCTCTATGTAATTAACGATACCTCAATGATGCAATTGTCAATGGCTCAATGCCACTATGCAATTTAAGTTAAGGCCTGTATACTTTCAATCACTTGCATGACCAGAGCAATATGTACCTTTATTAAGTTAATTAGTATCTGATCCCTGAAGATGAATTATATGAAAGGCTGCTTATAAAATTTATACAAGTAATCCATACATGTATCATGGCAATCGTTCGAAAAGGAATTTCATCCGTCTCTCTAGAAATGAATTTCCAGCTTCTTGTATATAAATTAGTTTGCAGCGCTCTGATGTGGACTCAATTCACGTTCCTAAGCCTTTGCTTATAAATGCTTTAAAAACAATACTTCAAGAACAACTTTTATGAAGTGAAAGCTGCTCCCTGTTTCATAATAATTTCTTATCACATTGCTATAACATTTTGCTCACACAGAAAAATACCCAATCAAATGCATAACAATTATTGTGACTTTAATTTTTTTTTTTTACTGATAGCAAGTTTCATGCAACAGAGCCCAGATGATAGATTTTAAGGCATTTAACGATTTAAAACTAATGAATGAATTACAATGAAGAAATTTCATGTCTCCTGATCTACGATCCCAATAACAATTGAGACTTACTAGTATTAAATGTACCCCTTTTAAATGCCATTTCAAATTTGACCAGACTATTAATCAAAACATACTCATTGATTTTGAAGAGCTAGAGGGCGGCAAGATTTTAGTGGACGATATCCGTGGCATGACAATTTTGCTGTAGGCTGATGAAACTGGTCGACGATGGGTCGACCACTCTCCACTTGCTGGACGCTCCACAGTACACATTATGAAATCACTGTACAACGGGCAAAACTTCTTTCAACATTGACGCCGAAAAAGATTATCCAACTGATCATGTAGTGTCGCAGAAAGAGTCCAGTTTTAAATAGAAAGGAACTCTTGTCCTTGTACACAAAATCCTTGAAGCTTTCGAAAGGGAACACAAGATGTTTTCAAAATTGGCAGAAATCAACAGTTGGATTATCAAATGACAAGGTCTGCTCACATGCTCCAGTAATTTTAGCAGTCCGTCTGATACAGATAGAAAGCTCTAAATAACCTACTTTTTCTAAAGGTCTTAGAACAGGAATGGCAAGATTTTGCAGCTTGAAAATCTGTGCCAGGTTGTCCAAGGATATTCTACACTCTCAAATAGCGCAGACTGGATGATCTGATAAAAAGGAAGAAAGTCAGACACGATTCTTATCCACAGACCTCAATTCTTGCATAATAAGAGAGTCCCCGCTATGAAGTGATTCTCGAGAGCTACACAAGTGTGGGCTGTGGCGTTCGCGATGTAAACAGTGTGTACGTGAAACCCGACACCACACAATGCACAGTCCTGTAGATGCTCAGCTGTGCAAATCACACAAAGTTAGTCTGTCCTGGTAAGAATCCAAAGTTTAATGACGTCCCAATGCAACAACACTCACATCCAAGTGCAGTGATGGCAAATTTAAAAATCAATTGCAGTCCCTCCTGTCAAAACAACAGATGCTCGGTGAAATAATTATTGAACTTCCCTCAAAAAGCCACTGGTCGTTTATTTAGTTTTTTACTGACAATGCACAATGCTTTTGTTATTATTGTGAAAAAAACATTGGACAATGAGAGGAAGAGCTCGTGTCCCTGACTTGAATGCGTCTGGACTGCACTGATCCCTAATGTACACAAACTCTTCAGATGACAGCAGCTAGCAGTACATTTGATGGGAGTTGCATATGTGAACACACTGACAGGGCCGGGTAGGCAAGTGAAGGAAGCTGCACTACACACACAGAGACACACACAAATCAATGCACAAATGTATGTAGCTTGTCGATTTCAGAGCTACAGGCTAGTAAAATGTGAAATGAACTCAGGTTCATGATTGTGTGCGCCTGTGTGCGCCTGTGTGTATACCTGACAAGGTTTTGGCATTGGGATTGTTGCCAATTTGGCGATGAATGCCCCAGTTCAATGATTCATTCAGACGCACAGCTGTCAAGATGATGGCATATCTTGAGTGCCTGTTGCATGATCGAGGGAAAAGAAAGAATGCCTCTTCCTTTCATTAGCCGACATAGTTCGCATTCCCCCCTGCATACCTTCAAATGTCAATTACACAATCTAACATTTAAAATAATACTAGTGTATGTACTACAATGTGTATCTCTATACAAGGTTAGATGGAACTCATTAACATTGCCCTCATTTGCACACAATGGTACACAGATGCTGAAGTAGATATTCATTGAAAATTACAAGGGGGAATTATTGATAAACTTGTTCGATCTAACTTCCCGGTTTGCAATGATACAAATTACAACAATTAAAATCAATGGATAGCAACTTTAATTAAATTCATCTTTTGTCCACTATGATTTCATCGAAGTAGATTTGACCACAGGTAGGCCTCCATGCATGAGGACCGGACAGAACAATATCGGAATATCCCTCCCTAGCTAAAATGAGATCGAGGTCCAAACTTCACTAAACATGACCATTGAAAATACGTCTGCATTTAGGCTACACAAGAAATAGGTCACAACGGGGATCACCACAATACTGTACAGTATAAACAAAGCATACACTTATTATGCATTACAAAATAATATATCGCCTTGGTGTATTATTTTTTTCGATTGCAAATCATGTTCTTAACTTTCTACAAGCTCCTTTACTATATACATTGACTACATGCACTTCAAAATGCTTGGATGTCTAAAAATCGACTTCAAAATACTCAGGTGTCTAATAATCGACTTCAAATATCCTTAAAAATCCAAATTTTCATTTCTTTTGTATAATTTTGTAGTTCTCCAAGCGCATGTGCAAGAACATGTGAGAATTTGTCCATACCAGTATCTATACAATGAACATGTATTTCCAAGCATACAAGCCCTTCAAATAGCCTGTTTCACTATACATGCAATCTATTCTTAGAATCCCCCATTACAACAATAGAACATTGTAAACTAAAGCCCTATTGTCAGAGCACTCTCTAAATCACTGAGGGGGCAGATAACTGTTACCCCTTCCCTATTGATTAGGAGGGGTAAGCTGACTATACATACATTGTAAATGAGCATTGAACAATAAGGGATGACATCATGACCCTCCATTGACAATATACACTCAGAAGGTCATTCACTGTGTCATGACATGCACATGTGACTGGCATGTCGTTGCTATGTAGTAGATTACACAGTAGAGTGGGATGATGAGGGGGCGGGGCCTATTTATTGGTGACTACAGGCTACAAGAATGGTGAACTACCATTATGGGGTGTCACATTGGAAAAGGGGTGTGGCCTACTGGTGACTATAGCAACAATACTGAACAATCGCTATGTAGTAGATTACAATGTAGATTCAGATGAGAGGGCATGTACAAATGTAGATTACCCAGTAAAATGGAGGGGCGTGGCCTATTTGGTCCCTATAACAATGATAATAAACTACTGCTATGCAGATAACTCAAAAAGGAGGCGTGGCATGTTGGTAACTAGCAACCAAACTGAACTAATAGGCTTGCAGGTTCCCCTCTGTGTTGCTTTGACCATGATCTGGTGTCATATCACCTTGAACCCCAGTTATAGCACCGTAGCCATAAATACCATCACATGTATTATAAAAGTCAATGGCAATCTGTGCTTGTACATGTACCTGTAGTTGACTTATGTTGTGGGAGCACTGGTAAATGCACCTTGCACTATTGCACGAGAACACAAATTTACTTGTGACGTTATATGAGCAACCTCTGGAAAGTACTTTGGCAGTATATATTCCATAAAAGGATAGTGGCCCCTTTGCAGAAGTGGGCAATTTTACTATAATACAACAAATCTGCAAGGAATACAAACCCTAACATGTGCAGGAATATATGAAATCCTTCAGCATACATTTACCGTTATCAAAAGTCCCCATTAAAAATGAATTTTCAATTCCATTCGACAGCAGTGACGAAGCACAGTTTAAGCTCTGTTCAGATATGATGCTGCAAAATCGGGGCATTAAAAAAGAAAAGATGACGTGAGGCCATTTAACAAAAATATACATGTTTAGTGTCCCTGCCCGCTTCCCTTTTTGGGGGCCGTCTCCTATTTTAAAAAAAAATAATTTTGGTCAATTTTTTTTTCCTTCAATGAATTAAAAAATGAAAAATATACTTTTAAAATGATCTATTTCTGATTAAAAAATAAGAAATAAATACTTGCGGCCATCTTGACAAATAGCCCGACTGTCAGGAAAAAAGTACCGAGCGGCCATTTTGAAAGAAAAAAAAAAAAAGGGCCTCCTTCCTATTTTTCAAAAGGCAGGACGCTAAACATGTTTTTTTTCTTCAATTGGTCTAAATTGTAATTCGTTTCTGTATCTCATAGCACAGAGCATACGAGTACACGCAGGACGCACTTGCCATTCATTTTCATTTTTATACTACGTTAATAACTACGGTTTACCAGGTCCAATCTGAACAAGGCTATATTAATTGCACCTGTAAGAAGATGGGTTTATCAAAGGAAGTCCCACTAAAGGGGTATGCTCTAGAGTAATAGGCGAGAATGAGGTTGCACATTCTTATAAAACTAGGTTATTACATCCACCTGTAGTGTACACCGTACAAGTAGGGCAAGTGACATTCAGGTACAATAAAACCCGTCTTTTAAAGGGATTGGGTAACTTTTTTTGAGGCACTTCTTGATTATTTTGAAGCGCAATTTTTTTAGGGCTTTAATATTACACCATATCACAGACACTGATAACGCATCTCAGATTTAACATTGTTAAACGATGCCTTTAAAGGGGAAGTCCACCCTGATGTTAAGTTGTTTTAAATAGAACAAGAGCAAGAGCACCTTTAAACAGATTTTTCCAGTATTGTAAATGGTATTTTAAACAAAAACAATGTTTTTTTTTCTTCAAATTAGTTTTCTGCAACATAAATGAGCCCTTTATCATTACAAATGTAGGTATTGTATGTTAATGTAGATTAGAGGCTGGTTTCAAGGACAGAAATATATTTCAGTTCCTGTTTCTTTGTCGTAGTTACAGTGTTGCTGATGCATATCTATCATAATTGACATGTATTGTTCAATTTCAATAACTAACTGCACACAACTGCATGTGAAGAAAAGAAAATATTTGTGAAAACATGAAAGGGATTATTGAATGTGAAAAGCTGGAGGATAGTTAACAAATCCCTCTTTTACCCAAACTACACAATACAGAGTTTGGAGCAATACAAGGCCAAGGGTAGTATCAATTTCTGCCTTCAATCTAAAGTAGATTGAATTTTGTAGTATTAATACTTCAGAAGGAATAAATCTTCCAGAAATAACAAAGTTCGCATTTTTCCCTTTTCTCTGTTGAACTACATGTAAACTTGACATACATGTGAAGTTGTGGAAAATAAAAGGTATTAATGAATGAGAAAAATGGAATACCCGGTAACTGTAATAGTAAAAAGGCCTTTTTTATCCAAAACCTATTAAAAAATCAGAGTTTGAGTTTGAAACCTGAACAATATTTTAGTAATATCATGAATTGTTGACACTGCAGTGCATTCTCTATGAAAGCCGGAAGAAACCTTGTCTCATCGTCTTCCCCGGTATCGTATCTGAGCATGTGCTGACCAGTGCAATGTGGGAAGATCACCCTCTACTTTATAACATTGTAGGGTCAACTATGCACATTATTTGGAGCGTACATTGCAATATTGCATATTTGTGTATTACATGTACATGTACCATTTGTAATGTACATGTACATGCACATGTACATTTGTAGATATAGTTGTAGGTATGTACTCATGTAATGAAAGATATGGCATCGTTTCCATCCAAACCAGGCATCGCTCTCTGTATGTATTCAGTCCACGATCACAAGCCAGAGGCTATCATGAGCAAAGGCCGAGATATTATCAACATGCTGATTGACATGATTCTCGTCTACAGAGGGAGCTGCGCAAATTTGCTCATAATGTCTTCTAACTGTAATACGTTAGGATGCGTATGGCTCAAACAAAAGTGATACTGTTCATTATAAGCAGTTTCTTGGTAAGTGCTCTTAACTAGTATTAGAAAATCTGTAACAAACATGTACTCTATGGAATATACTTTCAGTGTATTGTAGACTTATACAGACTTGTCCACTGTAAGTGTCAATGTAACATCAACATGGGGAAATCCTCAATAATGTTGAACAGATATACAACAGTTGTGACTGAAATCACTTGTTCTATGATCAAATACAAAGAACCGGTGCACAGAAAAGCAACCGGAAGGTACACACACATATATCCAGCTAAATTCATCGCCTTGGTTACGCGATGCTCTGGCCCAGCGACAGAGAGGGTGCGTGTTGACTCTCACAAACACAGACACACATCATTACCAGGCTTCTCTTCCTGTGTCTGGAGGCACCAGGCGTCACAGGAGATGCATTGATTTTTTTTAAATAAAAAAAAATCAATATGAGACTGTGAGATTGTGGGATGACTTTCATGATCATACAATTGAATGTACATTGTGAATGAAGCAAGTTTATATTTGAAATGCATGTATTTTGAAATCTGATATTGGCTACACTTGAAAAGAAATTAACAATAATTGTTTAAATAATTCAATGAGCAGCAAAAGATTATACATGTACATGGGTATGTACAAATGTAGGCCTATAATACACAATTCATGTACGCATACTGCAATATTTACAACATCATGACAAAGAT